TTTTTACATTTCTGTCTGCCCTTTTTACATTTCTCTCTGCCCTTTTTACATTTCTGTCTGCCCTTTTTACATTTCTCTCTGCCCTTTTTACATTTCTGTCTGCCCTTTTTACATTTCTCTCTGCCCTTTTTACATTTCTCTCTGCCCTTTTTACATTTCTGTCTGCCCTTTTTACATTTCTCTCTGCCCTTTTTACATTTCTGTCTGCCCTTTTTACATTTCTCTCTGCCCTTTTTACATTTCTGTCAGCCCTTTTTACATTTCTCTCTGCCCTTTTTACATTTCTCTCTGCCCTTTTTACATTTCTGTCTGCCCTTTTTACATTTCTCTCTGCCCTTTTTACATTTCTGTCTGCCCTTTTTACATTTGTCTCTGCCCTTTTTACATTTCTGTCTGCCCGTTTTACATTTCTCTCTGCCCTTTTTACATTTCTCTCTGCCCTTTTTACATTTCTGTCTGCCCTTTTTACATTTCTCTATGCGTTTCTGCCTCATTATGCAAATGAGGAGGGGGTGTGTCCTAGAGAGTCAACTTCTGCTCATTGGTTGGCTTGGCGGTCCATCTTCTTAACTCACAGAGCTCAGAGTACTAAGTTAAATGTTCTCTTTTCTGTTGCTGTTGTTCAATTAAAGTATGTTTTAAGATCATTTGAGGCGAGAACCTTATACTTTTAAGCATCACCATATGGCCCATTCACAGATTTAATGCGTAATTTAAAAGAAAATGTGACGAACTTGAGAGGACCGTGGCAACCAGCGGAGCTCCGAAGCTGACGGCAGCCAGGTCTATAGCCAGGCTATGATGGCGATTTCCTGTTGTATTTGGCAAAGTCCCTACTCAAGTTCTAATGACTTCAGACTCGACATCAGACTCTCCTCCTGTAGATTCGACCGATGTAGTAAAATGCTAACCAACACGCTTCACACACGGCTATGCCAAGAGAGGGCCGCTGCAACAAAAAATCGCCATCATCACCAGCGATTCTTCACACACGGCTATTCCGAGAGAGGGCCGCTGCAGATGGGCTGTGGTTAGACCTGGCTGCCGTCAGCTTCGGAGCTTTGCTGGTTGCCGCGGTCCTCTCAAGTTCGTCACATTTTCTTTTCAATTACGCATTAAATCTGTGAATGGCCCATATGGTGATGCTTAAAAGTATAAGGTTCTCGCCTCAAATGATCTTAAAACGTACTTTTATTGGACAACAGCAACAGAAAAGAGAACATTTAACTTAGTACTCTGAGCTCTGTGAGTTAAGAAGATGGACCGCCAAGCCAACCAATGAGCAGAAGTTGACTCTCTAGGACACACCCCCTCCTCATTTGCAGAGAGAAATAAACAGCGGCGAAGAAATAACTAAGGTAAAAAAATACAAAGGAAGAATAAAACAGACAAAAATATTATAACATGCACATAAATAAATACTTAAAAATATAAGTAATTAAAAAATAAAGTTGAAGATTATAAAGGACAGAAAAATAAATAAGGTAAATATTACAAAGGCAAATAAATAAAGAAGCTAATTAAGAGTTATATACATTTATGTCTCACTTTTTTGTTGGCAATTAATTGTATGCTTATACATTTATTGAGCATTTATTTATTTCTGTATTTATTTTTAAATATGGCAGAGTTGGTCCTTCATAGAAGACAGCCTTTCAGTCTGTGTTACTGCCTTCCTTTTTAAATGCCCTCTGACCAGATTCCATGTTTTGTCATTTAAACCATTAAAAAAGATGCTTCAAGTTTTAAGACTGTATTTTTGTTTCTTAATGTGCAACCTTCTGATAACTCTTCTTACTCTGCCCCTGTACGTATACAATTGCAGAGTAAGGGCAGTCTGCTGGTTTTTGCACCTCTCATATTGCCGTTACCTTTGTACAGCACAATCATGAGATCATTTTTAACAGTACTTACTGGAAGGGTGCAGAAAAGTATTTTCCAACCAAATCAAAAAAGGAAAGCTAAATTTTATTTCAGGTTAAACATTCTTTAAACTGCATGCAGGTGTGTATCTAAGACAACTATTATGGTGCAAAGGTGAATCAAAATGTACTTAGGCAGTCATATTTCCACAGTTTTTTTCTTCTTATGTTTCCCTTCCAACAGATTTGTTTTTTTTTTCAGTTACATTGCACAAGATATACAGTGGGTAAAATAAGTATTGAACAGGCCTCCATTTTTCTCAGTAATATTTGTAGAGGTGCTAATGACATGACATTTAAACCATATGTCAAATTGTGTGTCAATCAATGAAATCCACACATTAAAGAAAAAAAGCATAAATGTCCAGACATTAAATCATTTGTAATAAAGTAAAACGACAAAGAAAAAAAGGTATTAAAAACACTAAAATTTATTTAATATTTTGTACTAAACAGCTAATGACAGCTTCATGGAAATTAGTCACACGCATTGTTCAGATGTGATTTTGGCCCATTCTTCCACACAGTCTTCAAATCTTGAATTGAGTTTCCTTGGCTGTGTGTTTGGGTTCATCGTCTTGATGAAATATCCACCCAGTTTTCATCTTCTTCATCCTAGTAGATGGTAGCAGAATGTCTCAGTACATTTTTCCATTCATCCTTCCTTCAATTATTTGAAGTTTGCTCATTATCATATGCTGAAAAAATGACCCTGGCTACGATGTTCCCATCTCTGAACTTCTCTGTTGGTATGGTGTTTATGGGGTGATAAGTAGCACCATTTGACCTCTAACATTATGGGCCGGATTTATCAAGATCCAATTTTGCGTGCAGTAATTTGCGCTCGCAAACTGGAATTTTGCGCGAGGGGCTGAACCATGGTTTGCGGGTGATTTAACAAGAGTGATTGCGTAACTGGTGGAAGGTGCAAAACTGTTGGAGACGCCCTATTTAAATGATGGTTTTGCGTGTTTTGTGGTTTGCGGCAAAGTAGTTTGTAGTCTGTACAAACTAGTGCATTAAGAAATTTAAATCTTACAGTGACCCCCAACAAAAAAAATAAATAAGTAAATATATATATATATATATATATATATATATATATATATATATATATATATATATATATATATATATATATATATATATATATATATATATATATATATATATATATATATATTTTTTTTATAAATTGGCAACCTTTATTCCCTAAGGTGGTATGTGCTGCAGTAAAAAAAAAAAAAAAAAAAAAAAACAGGTGTTTTGTATTGGCCTGTGACTGTGGATGAGATCCCCGCAGCATTTGGCACGTTGCTCCACAGGCGCAGGGGGAGAACCCCGACCCCGTCGGACAGCACTTCTGAAAAAACGAGATTGGGAGATCCCAGCTCTCGCTGCAACCGTACGCTGGAATGACCCAGATGCAAAAAAGTGCAATGTTGCAAGGAGTTTAGTGATATCTGGTATTGCGTGGGTCCTCCTTGTGGCTGGCTCCAAATCCATTCGGAGTTCCCCCAACAGCTCCAAAATGGCAATGCTGGATAAACGATATGTTTTGATGATCGTTTCCTCGTTCATTGCAAAAATATTCACACGGAGTGAAAAAATGCGTTCTCTGCGTCTCCTTGCTTCATTTCCATGTCTCCTTCTTGCGACAATAACCGCTGCCATGTGTGCGCAATTACGCATACAGACCATTTGCACCTTCTTTTGAAACGTGTTAAATATAGAGTCAGATACCGTTAGCAAAATTGCGTTCAAGTTTGATAAATCACTTTGCGAGTGCTAAATTAATATATTTACATGTTCTCCTCCCACAAGACGCACTTTTGCGTGTAAACGCCCCATATTGCATATTCATTGCAGAAAAAGTACTAAATGGACAAGAGGCGCTATTTAGCACGTTTTGAAGACCAAATGCTTTTAGCACGCTGTTGATAGATCAGTTTGTACATTTTTTAGCGTGCGCAGTGAAATAGCTCACGTTTTAATACACGCAAACCTTTGATAGATCCGGCCCTATGTGTATTATAGCATCCAAAGAGTTCAATTTTGGTCTCATCTGACCAGACTATATTCTCCTACTATTTCACAGGCTTGTCTGAATGTTGTGCAGCAAACTTTAAACAAGCTTCATCGTGCTTTTTCTTCAGCACTGGAGTCTTGGAGAGCGTGCATACAGGCCATGGCAGTTGAGTGCATTACTTATTGTTTTCTTTGAAACAATTATACCTGCTAATTCCAGATCTTTCTGAGGCTCTCCACAAGTAGTCTTTGGCTCTTGGACAACTCTTCTGATAATTCTTCTCAGTCCTCTGTCAGAAATCTCGTGAGGGGCACCTGGTCGTGGTCGGTTTATGGTGAAATGGTGTTCTTTCCACTTCCAGATTATGGCCCTAACAGTGCTCACTGGAACATTCAGAAGATCAGAAATCATTCTGTAACCAATGCCATCATTAAGGTTGCAAAAGTCTTGAAAAAGCTCTTTACTTTTACCCATCATGAGATGTTTCTTGTGTGATATATAGACACCTTTTTATAGGCCATCATTTGTGACTGAACCAGCTGATAGTAATTTGCACTGACAAGGGGGAGGATTGCTTTCGAATAACTGAGAGATTTCGGCTGATGTCTTGGCTATTCATACCTTTTTACACCTCCCTCTCTAATACTTTTTTTGTGTCATTTCATCTTATTATACAAAACTTAATTTCTGGATATCTTGGTTTGTTTGTTTTTTATTATGGCATTTTAAATACTTATTTTAACCTGCTGTATACTTTACAATGTAAAAAAAAAAATCCGAAAAAGATATGAAAAGGAGTTTTACTTGGCAATATAACAGGAGTAAGCAGACTCTTTATACCCATTTCTTAAACTTTCTTCGTCTTTTTCATCTGTGTATCACAAAAAAATGTCCATAGATTCATTTCTATAGCTTCTTCTTTATAATTAAGATCCTTGTTACTTGAGTTGTTTAATATTTTCCATCTAGTTACATTGTTCAGTGAACCACAACCCTGAATGAGTTATCTGACTCATACTTTTAGACAAACACAACAAGAACAACTCTGATTTCTTTATAAAAGGCCTTTATTTACATAAAATAAAAGAAGTATGTCTTTGAGTGGTTACGGAGGAAAGTTCCAGAAATGTCTAATAAAGTAACTCAGATATTAAGGAATATCAATGTTTTGTTTCTGCTTAAAGTTTGCAGTTTTATTTTCTATTCTCTTAAAGCTTTTGATATTTAAACAAGACTATTTGCATGCTATGAAAAGTCCTATTGAGCTGTATTTGGTTATATCTGACTTCTCTGTTCAAAGGTCCATGTCATATCACCAAAGTAGACAATCAGTACAAACAACGTTTTTTTTATGGACTGGTTGTAAAATATTTCATGGTGGTGAGAAAATGGAAGCTAGAAGAACCTAAAATAGTAAAAGAAATCTAATTTCCACAATCCTAAAGCATTTGTTTGACGTTCATGCATGTCACCGTTTTAGTTTCAACTTCCAGTTAGTTAACGGTATGGGCTTTTTTAGATTTTCTACTCACAGACTTAAATCAAAACATCACATATTTACACAAAATATTCAAATATGTACAACAAACTAGCAACTGGTTTCATTTTCCTGTTGGAAAGGTTGGCCATCTCCTCTGGGTAAAGACACACAATATCTTCCATCTTCTTGTCGGTTAAACTGCAACCAACCTAAAAGAAAAAAACATATTTTCTCTTATAGAAAAACCAATTACATACTTTGTTTTATTTATAGGTGGAGTTCTTGTTGCCCAGTGGTGAAATCTTAAAATAAGCTGTTATTCTAAAACATAATTTAGTATTACTTACATGACGCTTGTTCAGGCTCAGGATAAGGACGCATTGCTAATGGAGGGAACTCTCCAAAAACAGCAACCATCACCTGCAGTAGGCTAAATAGATCCCCTTCACCCTGATAGAGGAAGTAAGAAAAAGCGTCTTAGTGAAGGGTACATCTCAGCGCACAGAAACATGAATCTGTATACATTGATTTGTTTTTTCAAACTTAAAAATCAAAATAAATCGTTTTTTTTTCTCATACCTTCTTCCAGTCTTTCAAGTAAGGCATCCTGACTTTGCCGTCGCTGGAAATGTACTTTCCTTTAACAATGATCATCTCGTGTGTCGGCTTCACAAAGCACATAGGCGCCACATTGGGGTAGTTTGGCTCAATCCAAACACATATGGGGATGTTATAGGACTTGTCTTGAATAAAAACATGAAGGAACATCACTACATCACAAACATTTCTTTAATGTTCACTACTCTCAGTCATACTTCACCGAGGTTATGATCTATTTTACATGGATCAAAGTACAAATTCAGCTACCTTTATAGACCACAGGAATGATTCCTGTAAGGTTCATCAGGTTCTTTCTGGACCCATCTCTGTAAACTGTACAAAATGAGACAAAGACTTAATCTCTGAACTTGAAAATGATTTTAATGGATGGCATTAAAGTGTGATGACTGAGCACATTTGATGTGTTTCTTTGCATACCGAACTCCTCAACTGCAGGCACAAGGTCTTTAAAGTAAGTTATGGCAATAAAAACTTGATGGGCCACATATTTTCGCTGATATCCCTTTGAAAGAGTTAAAAAAAAGAATAAAAAAGAGATATGACAAAGGCTTTCTAATGGAAACAAATTCATCAGTAGTAGATAATAATAATAATAAAAAAAACTTACCCTTGGAAGCATTTTCTTTATAATATCCATTGTGAATGACATTGTCAATTTGAATCTCACTTAAAAAAAACCCCGAAAACAAACAAAAAAGAAGATTAAAACAGAATTTAAGCCCGAGAGTAGAAGGAAGAGCTTTGCTTTGTGATCAGCTTCTAACCTGTTTATCTTCAGGACAAACTCCTGTATTTTATAACCCTGGAAGGCTGGGAAATAACCAGCCCTACAATTATGCAAATGAATGCTCTAGAAAGAGGGATATGTACCAGATGGCTTTAAAAAAACAAGAAAAAAGTCTCTAAGTTCAGTTTTAGAGATTTCTTCTTCTGTTTATAAAAATAATCACAATAAACCTTAGATATAAAAAAAAAAAAAAAACTAAGGTGGATCAAATTGTTTTAGATGCCACCATTGAGGTTATATATCACTAAAGTCTTGACGACATCTGCAATAAAAAGAAAAAATACATAACTTCCGGACCCCCCCCCCCCCCCCCCAACATATTTACCAATTAAAGAGATATTGCAAACATTATTTAAAAACTGGACGTATTTTACAGGAGTTATATTGTTGCATATTGTTTTCCTCCAGTTGAAGTGGTTTAACAAGAAAAGCAATCGATAAAACTGTGTGATTTGTTACGGTTTCACTAAGAAATTTTAAAAAAGGAGCTCCTAGGTTCCAGTCCCATGCCCAGAATGTTCTCATCATGCATGTGTGGGTTCTCTCCAGGTACCCCAGCTTCCTCCCACATTCCAAATGCATTACTATTAGGTTGTATCCAATGTGGCATAGCACACTTATACATGTCTAGTGCTTTCCAAAATGTTTTTCTAATCATTTTTCTATTTCTTACCGCAAATTAAAATTCCGTTATGTTCTTTCATTAATCATTTTATAAGCATGCTTACAGCAGAATAAGATTCACCCTTTAAGAAGTACTTTCATATGTAGTAAAAAGAATCTAAAGTTATACTGAAGTGTGAATATTTGCTTTAATGGGATTTTAACAGTCAGATTATGTTCTTCACATAAAAATGAGAACAGAGTTGCTAAAATAAATTTGCCTTTCAAAAATATCCTAAATTAAGAATATGTACCTGGATAAAAAGTTCCCATTAAAATGTGATACAAAATGGATTTGATCATGGTTTAACAATCCAAGGACTTTCCTTTGCATGATGACTTTTTAAGCGTCCTAAAAAAGTTAAAACAGAATCCACTGGACTTTGTTTCCAAGTTGGAAGCCGTCTCTATTTCCATCCAGGAAGATTTTTCAATTCAAAATGTCAGGAATAGCGTTGAGTTTGATTCTTTATACAGTAGCCCAACAAAGCCTTGCTTTTGCTAACAAAACATGCAAACTGAAACGGATGAATGGGTCCTCCCTTTTGGAATGACTATGACCTGGACGACTGAGAATCTTCACCAGATTTTTTTAAGTGCTTTGTAAATTCATAATGAGGAAGATTAGAGATGGTCATATATGTCTACATCTATGTATGCACATGAATGCAAAAAATATAATCCATGTCTTTCCATGGGTTGGATTCAATCCCTCTCTAAGGGAGGATACTGAAACCCAAGCGGTCTACCAGTATGTGCATAGATGTTTGATGATGTTTTACCCTTGCTAATGTAACCATTGTTTTTATTAAATCCCTGTGACATTCTTACCTACTTCTTACCTGGGTATTTTTCTTACCTAAAAGCTACGTTTGGGGCCAGATATTCACTAACTCTGGTCTACTTCACAAAAATAGAACCAGAACCAAACATGGAGCAGCAGCATTTATGCTTCAGGAATCTAGAATCAAGCTGTAAAAGCTTTGGACTTTAAGTTGCTTTAAATCAAGATTGAAAATGCAACTTTTTAAAGTTGCCTTTAACTGGGCTATCTAAACATTTTTAGTTACGTTTCTAGTCTAACTTTAGTTCCATCTTAAACTTTTGTCTTTTTTATACTTTTATGAAGCGTTGTCATTAAGATATAATCCACTTATTTTGATGTGTCACTTTTATTCTCTTTCACCGTTTCTGTTGCTTCTATTCTATTACATTGTACTTTTCTTTTTCTCATGTAAAGCACTTTAAAATGTGCCATATTCACCCATCAGTCATAACACTGCTATGCCTGATCAATGAACAGATATATGTATTCCAGATCTCTCCATTTTGATGGCATGAATTGAATTCAGGCCCAGTCTATAATTCATTTCCTCACACACAATACCTGTTTAAGCCTCTAGATGGCAGCAGAAAAAACAAAGAAAATGAAAAGTAGGGTAGATTCATCTTGACATCTTTATTCTTGTCCCGCAATACATTTGCCACATTTTTTTTAAAGAGTAAATACATTTTAAATAGCTACACAGCTGACATTTTCACAAAACTCTTTAACACCTCAGATCCAGTTTGCCAGAGAAGAGATGAGCGAACGAGCTCACTGCACCTTTGTGCAAACCACCAGTCGTCCCATTTCAATGGTCCACAGTCCGTCAAGCTCGCCAAGGTTTCAGACAAGTCAGGATGATGTAGGTGATTTGCAGGCTGAGTATTTACACACCAAGCAGCTGCTTTTCTCTAATGTAACAGGGAGGTTGTGTGCATAGAAATTTGTGGGGTTCAATGCTTAATCTGTGGGAGAACTAGAAAAAAAAAACATGTCAGTGAAAGAAAAGTTATAAACTACAACTGTATCCACATGTTAAACAAAAATTTAGTTTTTAATCTCCCAATAAAACCACCTAGTGGGGTCAACAATGATCCCCTACATCATTTCCTTTATCTTAACACGAGGCGTCTTTTGAACTAAATTTAAAAGAACTAAACATTCACAGTCTGTGTCCTTTTCTCTGAAGGAGAAACGGACAAGTAACAAAAACAACAAAACTGACCATTAAAATTCACATAAGCAGTCTAGTCAATATTTCTGGTATTGACTATACAACAATCAGCAAAGATCAGATATGATAAAAATGTAGCCAGTAACATTTGAAATTATTTACTGAAGCCTGAAAATATGCCCAAGATTCACAGGTAAAGCAAATTTTAGATCCTGCTAGTTAATACATTTCCGTATGCGATGAATCAATGCGGTACATCTTTTTGTTAAATGTTATAATATCGATCTCTTCCATTTTTCTTCTTTCGTATCGACTTGTTTTAAATCAGTCTGCTTCTAATTTTAAGTTGATTTCCTGTTTCCAACCAGCAAAAAATCCAATCCAGAAAAAAATGCTATTATAGGAGTACAAAATAATAATCTGTAGTGTTATGTTTTTGTTTTTCTCACATACAATATATATTATCAGATCAAACATAAAAGAAATCACCTGTGGTGAAGCTTGCTGCTAAACATGAGGTAATGACTAGAGAAAAGATAAGGCAAAATAAACACATCAGTCTCGTTTAGGCAGCAAAGGAATTAGTCACGGAGAGCGCAAGCCTAGAAGCATTAAAAAAAGTCCAAGCAACCCACCATTCACCACCTGGCGCACGCATTAGTCCCACATGTAGTTAATGGGGTTTCATAGAATGAGCACCTGACTTGCTGTCGCTCTTTTAAGAGAGCCGTAGGTGGCAGAGAAAGAGGAACAACTTGAGGATATAATGGTGTGTGCGTTTGTGGAAAAAAAAAAACTAAAGTTTGGACTCTGAGGCAGGACTTGTGCGCTACAACAGTCTGCAACACCAACTTCTGACACCTTTACTTTGGCTGCCAGGACAAGTTAGATGAGCCCTTCCTGGACCTTGGTTCCTGAGCCTTTATGATTTAAAGAAGCAAATCTCGCAGTCTAAAAATAAGAATAATTCATAAGTAACAGCTGTAAACACTAAAGTTACTGAAATGAAATGTGGAAAAAATGAACCTGCACAGCTTTCCACTGTGAAACCAAACCCCATCAGAGAAGTAGTCAAAGGAGAAAGTTTATTTTCAACACTTTTAGTAGTTTTGAGGGTGGAATCCTATTGCACCAGGATATACTGTACACTAGCCATCGCAAATATAATTTCACAATTAGACTTTTGTAAATAGTGAATGCACCTGCATGCTTGAAATCAACTTATTTTAACACACGTACTCCAGGACCTTTAACCATTTCAAAGAGGGGCTAATAATAATAATAATGTCACAGTAGGTGCTGCTTGAAATGAGCAACTCTTCCAGTGGCTTTGAAATCTACCAATCACAACAAAATCCACACATTTCTTTTACAGTTGCTAATTAGTAAAAAAAAAAAAAAAGAAAAAAAAAAAAGAAACAATCTTTTCCAGATAAAAATGGTCCAACAACTGAACAAAAAGCAGTATGGGTACAGTGAGAAGGTGGAGGTTGATTATTTATGCATTGTGATAATAAAAAGTACAATTTCTTTCCAGTTCTGCATCCAAAATGAAGGTAAGTCAGTATTTCCAGAGGCTCTGTAGGGAGATGGGGGGGTTGGGTTTCAAGGCAAGAAGGAGCGTGTAGAAAACACCCCCTCTTTGCAACCAGTGTTGAGACCGAAAACAATAAGTTAGCAGGAGAAACGTGAGGCAACCACAACCTGTTCAGAGTCAAAAGCCGTGTCGCTCACAGGTCCATGTAGACCCCAAAAAAAAACAAAATAAAAAACAGGATGAGATTAGGAGACGGGACCAATCCAGTTCAGCGAGCCACTCAGGCAACAGTCAAAAAAATCCTCTTTTCCTTAAGAGTCTATGGTTTTAGTCAGCCATGTTGGTTTACATCTGAGCTTTCACTTCAGTCATCGTCCTTTAGAAAAAAGTTCATTTGTCATCTTTAAGTTGTTTTATCCATCAGTTGTCGACTTCATGCTGCCACTTCGCGCTGTAGCGTTTCTCCTCCTCATGTAATGCAGAGCTGAAAAATGAAACCACACAGATTGATGGAAATTAGATCCCTGTAATCAGTTCTGTGGAAATGACATAATTCTGCTTTGAAACAACCTCCAGCAATCACATACAGGGCTTAGACCACACATGTTACCAGTTGGTGGCAGTAACAGACCATTTCATTTTTGGCACGACTGCCATTATGGCTAAAGAAAAAGAAAAACAGGTCTGCCATGTCATGTATTAAATGATGCTTTTGAACATTATCAGCAGTCAAATTATGGATTTGATGCATGGATTAAAATTGTCACCAATCACAAGTTGTTAACAGATTCTTATGCTCATATT